GTGATTTTAGTTAAAACTGGATCTAAAATTCGACTGGTAGTTTATGGATAGGAGAGTGACAAGAGCAATTATCTTTTCCGGGAAAATGCACAAAGCATTTTATTATTACTGGATTACAAACATAAAACTGGTGCAGCCGCGGGGCACGACTTGTTTAAATAAGAGGAACCGAAGCAAGTATTCGTTTGACAGAGACAACAAGAGTTAGTACTACGCACACATATTGACGACATATATTTTTTTGTAGTTATAACTCGGTATTTGTCTATATGCCTTCCGCTTTTTGTTATTGATCTATTTTTATTGGCATATACTAATTGAGAGAGACGAACTTACAGTCCACCTAATTGTAAGTAAATTGTAAATTGTTGGTAGACTTTTATTTTATTGAGTGTAAAGTATACGGGTGCCCTAATTACAACTAATAAAAATTGTTTTTTTTTTGTGTAATTAATTAACAGTTCATACAGACGGTCAATCTTCAGACAGTTTTTAACTGAATTAATGATTCCGTTAACTATACTATTGGCTGGTATTTGAGTAAGTTATTTGCCTAGTAAAACCTAGTAGTATTGTGAAAAAAAAAAGACAATAAAACCATTTTCTCTACACTTTGTGTACCTACCCAGAACCATGGTAAGAAATGGTATCTGCTAAACATACATTACGAAAACCATTCGTAATTCGGTATCCAGTTTTGCAAACGTGTAATACAAATAATGATGTTGATAATTAATTAAAAAAAAAAAGAATAGCAACATGGAACTGGCCAGTCGATGCACATGTATGTTAAAGATAAAAAAAAACCCTGTAAAGTGAAGAATGTCGGCTGAATTATTTGTTATTAAATAGTTATTGGTATTATATTAGTACTTACTGAGTTGATTCACAATTTCTTTAGGTAACCAGTCATAGTCTACTTCACTGGCAGTACCGGTTTCAACGGGTTGAGACACTGAACGTGGTGATCTACGCCTGGCCAACGAAGCGAGAGCTTGCTGTCCTGCGACGAGAGCCAACACTCCACCAGCACCAAGGAAGACATATAAGAAGAATGTCTCTCCATCTAGACCTTCGGATACTTCCACAATGTTGAGTGTCTGGTTGTAGACTGCTTCCTATGACATAATTAGTTAATTAATTCAAACTGTCATTTTTGCACAGTATGAAGCAAGCCATGCTGGGTGGTATGGAATATGATACTTTCTTTGGATGTATCCAATTTAATGTCAAAACCTATTTTGTAAAGTGAAGAAGTTCTGATAACCACTAAACACCAGTTGGCATTGGGTATTATTGTTAAATTGTACTTAAATAATTATTTATTTGTAAATTGGGCATTTATAACATATGGACGCTTGAAAGGTAAAAGTGACTAAGCGACAATAACTGCTTTGTACATAAATGATAGGCAATAACCATATTCGATGGGCAAAAAAAATATATTTTTAGGTCTATTAAAATCATTTCAATCCTACAGCTAGATTCATTGAAATAGAATTTTATTCAGGTATTTCAACTTTAAATTAGTCTACTATAAAGTTCTCGCATTGTCGCTTAGTCACGTTTGCCTTTCAAGCGTCAATATGAATAAAGTTTATTTAAATTTTAAACCAAAATTTACATTATTTTTTTTGGATGAACATGAATAAACTCACGCTCCACCTGGTATTAAGTGGTTGGGCTCAGAGGGATCACAACATAAATGCCGTCATCTCTCTTAAGACATGGGCTTCAAGTCCGAATGGTGTAATGGCTAACACACCCCTCAAACTAAAAGGGACTACAGCTTTGCAGCAGAAATGTGCAGTTCAAAAGGTCATCAATAAGCTATCCATGTTATAATGAAATCAAACATTTCTTCAAACAGACAAATGAAAGTCAAACTTTTTTCTGTTTCATTAGTACCTGTACATTACTTTAAACAATTTTGTATTAGTAATATCATTTAATTTAATCTATTCTAGTTCAGTTCTATTTGCAGTTGAAACGTAATAGAGACAATTGATTCCGAAAACTCAATGGTGTAACTACAAACCTGGTAAGCATTTCCGCTGGCATCTCTGTAATTAAGCTGTACATTTAATCCGAAAGGTCTTCCAGCAAAAGCTTCATTGGGGATGAAGGAATAGGCAAAGGTGGCTTCCTGTTTTGGCTTAACTTCTCTGTTATAAGGCAACGCGGTGAAGTTCTGAATATAGTATGTGTAGTCCATTGGATAGCGGAAAGATGCCTCCATGGATTCTACTACATAGTCTACGGAACCCTTGTTGATGAAGCCCACAAAAAATTCCACTGGGTAACCAGCTTGAATATCTGTAATTTGAAAAAAAAACCCACTATAAATCATACTTACAGTATTTTTTTACTGTATGGCATAGTTTACATTTACAGAGAGCAGTGTCATAATATTTCTTGACAATAAAAAATATAGATAAGAATATTTAAATTATTTGGAAGCAAGTTGGAAATAAGTAAAAAGGAAGTTCTTCTGCTAAGCAGATGAAATTACTTTATAGACTGAAAGATGGAGTTACTTGGGGAACTCACTTTTAATATAAGTTCACATATATATGTGAACTTATATTAAAAATATTGTTACTTGTTAGAGAGATCCAGTAATGTTACATATCTAGTGAATTATCTTCAACATCCATCTATTACCTGCTACAATTTGTTCAATAACTAAGCTGTAAAATTAAATTCACTGTATTTAATGGTTTATTACAGTGACTGGTGATATGTTCAACTCACCGAAAGTTAAGTCACCCAAGCTAGGCACAGGTTTGGTGAACAGTATTGTTGTATCTATATCCTGAGATGACTTAACAACACTCTCATCATCATCTACGAGAGCATCGTCACCGACTACCTGGTTGTCTTCTCCTTCAATGTCGACAACATCATCAAGTTCATCCTCTTCTGCTCTAGCTAAGATGTTACCTGGAATTGAAAGTGGTTTAAGTGAGATAAGTAGTTTAAGTGTAATTTACTCTGTCATTCAGCCTCATGGCTTAGATTTATGGAATTTCTTAAGCCAATCTCAATGTGAATGCTGATGAGTATATGCCACAGATGCTCCACAATTTTAAATGTAGCTATCAGTAGACATACATAATTATATTTGACTGTGGATACTAAAATTGGTAGTCAAGTCATAGTTTTCAGAAGACCTCATGATTTTGTGTTTAAATTAAAATGGTATTTTTTCTAGGTTCTAATTGATAAAACGTTGGCTATTTCAGCTCTAGTGGCAATAACCAATGAGTGAACTCTAATTAGATGTTTTTCTTGTTCAATTGATGATATTACTTTAGACGCCTCTGTGATATTGTTAGCTATATAGTATAGTTGTCCTAGTCATACTGCCTACAATATAGATCTAGCCTACAGGAAATAATTTAAGATTTAAATGAAAATCAACAGCTGTTATCAACTTTCACCCATTTTGGTATTAGGTACATGTTTATCTAAGTATTTAAAATAGCTTTTTTTTAATTCCATTTAATGTGGCCCCTAAATAAAGTCTTGTGACCTAGATGTAGTCTAAATTCTAAGTCATTATATTGATAGTTACATTCTTAAATTGTCCGATCTTTAAAGTCAATGGTTCCTTAGCACTTTAACTACACGATTGTAAGAGTAATAGTGTTAAGAAAAACTATTTTCACTCAAAAAAATAATTTTAAACATGCCACGTCCTGTTAGCTATAACTTTCAATATTTACGTAATTTTCGTAAACTTACCGCTTCCAAGGCATAATAAAGCCGCCGGTACAATCAAGAACGTAAAATATATTAATTTCATTTTAAAGTAGCACTTGTTTTAAATAAAGTATAATGATTAAAAATCATGCGGCTGCCACGGACGACTTGGTGGACATTCACTTTGGCTCCAGCACAAGACAACTTGAAACTTGGAGCAAATCAAAATGCCAATTTTCTTTCCAACTCGATTGACGTGGAATATTGTGTCAATAGTGTTGTACTAAAGTGTAAAAACCGCTATTGATAAGCCGTTTTTAAAACTCTCCTTGAAACAATTCATTTTTAAAAATTTGAGGAAATATTTTTGTTGTTACGTTTTTCTTAAAATTTCTCTAGATGCAGTTTCGAAATATCTCCTATTTAAAAAAAGTTGTTAATCAATAAGAGCTTGAAATCTTTTTCACATAGTCGATTATAGTGGAGCTGCACATTAAATACAATACAGAAATAAGTAGAAATAAACTAAATTAATTTAATTAAAAAATCGCACACTTAATTTGGGATCTTCCCGATCCACTATCGGTGTTTTTAGGCACATCAAGCATCTGTCACCGTAACAGCAAATTAACCCTCAGACACAGCCCACTGGATTTCTCGCTGGATCTTCGGGTAACCTTGCCGATCTGGTGGTAGATTCTGCGAAGCACTGCTCTTTCTAGGGCTAGTGTTAGCAAATTCATCAGGTTAGAGCCCCGTGAGCTCTCCTACATGCCCGGTGAATCTAGTATAACCCCTTGAGGTTACTAGAATAGGTTGATTTTTTTTTCTAAAATTAAGTAACAACAAAGAACAAATCTATGTAGTTAAAAAGGCATTAAAACTAGACAGATAACTGTTTCTACTATAACTTTTTAAGAAAACATAAATAGATTTAATGAATTTGTAGTCACGACTATTAAACTAGTACACTAAAACCAACAGGGATGAACTTAAAAAGTAAAAAATACATTTTTTTTACATTATACTTTATAATTTTAAAACTATGCTTATGCATCGTTAAAAATGTATGTATACTTATATTTTAATATTATTATGTACTAATATAATAATAGTATAAGTATGAAATTTTGTCTTAATTAAAAATTTACTTACAATGCATTCCATATTTATCATATTTTAATAATATTTTACTTTTATAACAAAAGTAATTTAGGCTATCATTTTATATTTAATTTTAATGAACGCTTTTATTTGGGTTTATGTATTTTTTTTACGCGACCATTAAATTCGGAATGTGTGTCAACCATGGAATGGTATTTTGAAATAAGTTATTACTTGTCATTACATTACATTGTAAAGTAAACTTTTAACTTTGAGCAAACTGTCTCATTGCTCGTACCTTAGGTTCCTAAATGAACGTATAAATCAATTGTTCTTTCAAATGAATACTTTTAAAATGAGAATTAATAGTGCAGTTTATAAACGTTTTTTTTGTAAAAACTCACAACAAAGGCAAGCAATAATTATCCCCGAATGTGATTTTAAAGCAAAACAATATAAAGTAAGATTTCGGACTTCTTATAAAAAAAAGCTTTAATAAATATATATATATATCTAACAGCTTTATAACTTAAAAGATTTATACTAATCTTCACGCAAGCGGGAAAATTAAATTAGACTTCATCTAATGCTTACCTACATAAATACTTCATTAATATATCTTAACTAGAGACATTCGCACAGCTAACTAAATTTATCAATGTTGATCTTTTAGCTTCAACAAAATTCGGTCTAGTTTACGATAAATCAAAGAATGGCACCAATTAATGAATTTTGTTCCCTATCCAGAAGTCGTTTAACTGAAACAAAATTAGACGTTTTTCACTTCTAGGGCTTAAGTTGGGAAAAAGTTGATGACATATTTTTGACGAAAAACCCACCGGCTATAAAAAGCATTTATGAAAAACCATTGTTACTGCATCAAGGCCACATGCAGTGGTTATATGATCACGAGGGAAGGAGATACTTGGATTTACTTGGTGGGATACTTACCGTATCTGTTGGACACTATCATAGGTAGGCTTTTACTTAGTTTATTGTCTACGTTCATTTTTTGTTGACACGTACTTTAATGTTATTCAAATTCGGGGAAACCCTTATGCAAAATGGTTATCCGGAGTCCAAAGATATCGTACCGTCAATGATATTACCGTACTCGACATACGAGATCGAGTCCTCAAAGCTGTGAAACCCTTGAAATGAAAGGTGATTTAGAATGCACTAATTGGTATTACGAAATTAGCCACACTAATATTTTTTATTTAATGTGGCAAAACGAACATTCTCATAAACTAAGTATACAAACATTTTTAGGAAGATAGTAGCAGCCGTCGAAGAACAATTAAAGACACTGTGGCATACTACGACACTTTATAGACATTCCAAACAATTTGAATTTATCGAAAAACTAACTTCTAAGCTTCCGGAAAAATTACAGGTTTGACTTCTCATTAGCAGTACTATTTATTTTATGTGTGCGCAGTGAGTACGTTTTGTTAGTAATCAATGATAAATTCAGACATAAAAAAAACGTGTGGCACTCGGGAACTGCCGCGGTAAAGCTATTGCATAGCATTTTTTATCAACTTTTGCAATTATAATTAGACAATGATAATTTAATATTAAAACAATAATTAAACAAGACCACGCTATATTAAACAATAATAAAAGCAAAACCTTAACTTCCCTTCACACTCATAAGCTATACAGCGCGTGAGAGATGGGCAGACTTTTCATGATGCGCATGCAGTGTGACGTCACGCCACGCGCTTATTCACAAACACTACACAAGCGCAACGTGTGAATGTGTTGAACGCGAGCTACATGGTAGGCGAAGTGAGGGTGTAAGGTTTTTTTCGTTACGGAAATTCATGATTCGGTCGCCGCGCTCAAGGCCCGCGATAAAAGCTATACAATAGCTTAAAAATTGAAGCATTAAAGGTTCAACTTCGTAATCGTAATTTTATGTATTTTACAACAACAATAATAAGAATACAATTCGGTGTTGATTTTCAAATATACTTGGAAGTTTTTGGTTGCGAAGTTACGAGTTTCGATGGATATGTGCAACATTTTTAAGCCGAAAACACCTCTGTGCTTAGTGAGAGTTTTTTAACGTTCTCGATAGTGTAAAAGCTAACTCAAATTTGTGTGGAGTTGAAACGTTTTCCTACGTTTCCCGCTAGGGGCGCTGTTCCAACTATATACAAATTTCAGTTACTTTTACGATATCGAGAACGTTATAAAACTCGCACTAAGTACACTGAGAAGTACTTCGGTTTACGATATTTATAATTCCCTCGATTTTAGGTCGTTTATTTGACGAATAGCGGAACGGAAGCTAATGACTTAGCGATAGTATTAGCTAAATGTTACACTGGTCATAACGATATTATTTCTTTACAAAATTCGTATCATGGTAACTCTAGTAGCATGATGGCATTGACTGCAATGCAAAGCTTCAGGCAACCAATACCAGTTCCCCCTGGATTTCATCACGTAAGTGAAGCTTTGAAATTGCTAATAACATTTGCTTAGCTAGAACAGGAACACATAAATTACAGTCAATAGTCTTACTGTTTTGAGTTTAAAACATTACAATAGTGTTGCCGCACTAATCACAATAAAAAGGAATAGGTCAGATCTGTTGGACAAGTGACTGAAATGAACGAACCCAGAATCGAACAGTCGTATCTTCTGATTAATAACTGAGCACACTATTATCATCTAAGATCTCCGAACCCTATCGTAACGATTTATATTAAGTGAATAATATTTTCGTCTTTAAATTTTGCTACATTTTAATATGTTTGTTGGCCTGCGATATTCCTTTTTGCACCACAGGCCATGGTTCCAGATCCATTTAGAAATGAATGGGGTGGATGTCGGGATTGCATTTCTCAAGTGCCAGACTCGTGCTCCTGTACGGGAGATTGTCTTTCTACTGATAAATATATCGATCAATTGAAAGAGGTAATTTTGGGGTATTTTTTTGTTGTTTAAAAAACCTAAATGTCATTCTTCATTACAGAAATAACCAGTGGAATAAATAAATATTTCATACCATTAAACTTTAGAGAGGTTAATTTTCCAACATCACGATATTGTTTTAGCGTAGAAATATATATTTAGTTCCATAATTATTTAGAAATGTTAGTATTGGATCCAATATAAAAAAGTACATAATTGGATTGCTACGAGTACTCCTAATTGTACAAAATACTTACTTGTTTCTTTTATTAATTTTATTTTATTGTTTAGCTTATTAGTGTCATGACCTTTCCCTATTACTGAGTCAATAGTACACATAGTTGCCAACGAAATGGAACTAAAGGTGATAATTTTGCTTAACGTTATTTCCTTAACTATGTAGGTTCTTGAGTTTTCGATACCTAATCGACGGGTAGCGGCGTTCTTTGCTGAGTCTATCCAGGGGGCTGGAGGGATCGTGCAGTTCCCAAAGGGTTACATTAAGAGAGCTCAACAGCTTATTAAAGAGCATGGTGGCATATTTGTTGCTGACGAGGTAGGCATAACAATATTTGTAGCTTAATAATTTTTAGTATATTTTTTTTAATTTCTTCCGTTCCGATGGAAGTTTCAACCGTTAGCATATTATTAAAAAGCGCTTAAAGTGTAGGTAGACGATTAAACGCCAATCTCTAATTTCTAATCACTTAGCATCAGTAATACGTTTCGTTTTACACTAATAATTTTAAATCTAAACCACTTTGAAATAATCGTAAATATCAACAAGGATCTTTGTCTCATATTCATGTTTCTGTAGGTCCAGACTGGTTTTGCGCGTACTGGTGACACTTTCTGGGGTTTCGAATCACACGGTATCATTCCTGACATAGTAACGCTGGCGAAAGGCATCGCTAACGGGTTGCCGTTTGCAGCTGTAGTTACGACCAAAGAAATCGCCGAGGCACATACTAAAGCGAATTACTTTAACACTTTTAGTGGCAATGCTCTGGCGGCAGCAGCTGGCGTGGCTGTATTGGAGGTTAGGAAAAACATATTCTTACTTTTTAATAGTTTATGGCATACGAGTGTAGTTTTATACTTATGAGCATGATTTGTTAACAATACCATCGTTGAAAGCCAGCAAAATGTGAGCACTCTTACATAAGAGGACACATGTGTTCAATCTTATCTTGCTTGTTTCCACCTCCCTCTGCTCTAATATGCCATGAATATGTGTATACCATGAGTGTTTTAGTGACTTACAAAACCGAAAGCACTTCGCCATAGCACCATCAGATTTCCATTGACCGCCTCGTGGGTTTAGTAGTTAAAGACGTCTCTACCGGGGTATCTGGCTCTATACTCGAATTAAGTCAGTATCTTTGTGAAATATATTTAGTTTTCGGAGTCTGGATTTACATTATATTGTCTCGCATTACTTCAATAATACATACAGTGAATCCTATTTTAGTGAATCACATCGTCGAAGGATTGATATTTACAATATGAAGAAGCGATAGATTTTATTGTATTATTTATTATTATATTATTTATTAGGACAGACAAAACTTTTAATTTTACTAAGCAGATTGCATAGTATCTGATATCTTAATCGAAGTCGGCTTCAAGTCAGCAAACGAATTTTCAGTAAATGAGATGTCGTTTCATTCCACTTTAATAGTTCTGTATTTTTAAGGTGATTGACGATGAAAACATTCAAGATCATTGCAAGAAGATAGGAGAATATTTTATTCGTCAATTAATACAGCTTCAACAACAATTTCCGATTATTGGTGACGTCAGGGGTAAAGGTCTGATGTTGGCAATGGAACTAGTTAGACCAGGCACTAAAGAAAATTTGAGTGACGATTGCATGATAAGAATGCATCAAAGATTAAAAGATCTTGGCGTTTTGACTGGTCTTGGTGGTCGGAACCTAAATGTAATTTTTTTAATCAGACAATACAGCTTTATTTTCTTTACACAGTAACTTCCCAACATCAGTTTGAGATTTGATTTTAAACTGCAAGAAGAGAAGAAGCACTCGCTATGGCCGACATTTTTAAGTAGTACTAGTCAGTCCATAATCATAAGCACCATGACGTAAACGCTGCTCGCCACCTTGGGATATAAGATTGAAGTCTGGAAACAGGAATTTTACCCTTAAAACCGGAACGTAACAGTGTCTCATGCATGATATAGATACGGCAACCATATGCAATAAAAATTGAGTAACTACTATCTAAAGATGAAATGTTCATTTTGTGAGCGAAATAATAAAATTGCAAAGCCATCTATGAAATAACCACGATCCTACTATAGCCGTTACTACTTTATATTATGACTTTGTGTTATGGAACTGTATTTGATAGATGGACTTAGATTTCTCAATTTTGAGACTCAACAATCTGGTCTGCACGACTAATTAATATGAGCTCACACTATAATTCTTCTCTTCTTTTTCTCGTCTTTTTTGGGTCTTGAGCAGAATTTTCTATGAATTCAAAATTCACTATCACGGTGTTGATTAATAAAATTCGTGTGGTGTGGATTTTGCGTAGATTTAAACTATTACTTGTATAAAAAAAAAACAATAATCCATTTATTTATATCTTTGTTAAACATAGATTTGAAAAAAATATATTTACAGGTCTTGAAAATAACTCCACCAATGTGTATTACTAAAGAAGACGTGGATTTTGCAGTATCCGTTTTTAATGATGTTTTTAAGCAATTCTCTTAAAGCGTTTATTATTTTCCTGGGTAAATTTTATTGAATTAAAAGCCTATCAAATTTTATATTTTTTTTATTTGTATCCATGAATTTATCTTTCTATGGTTCTATGACAGACCTGGTTATGGTAGGTATACAAGTGAGATATCCATCTGCCCTATCGGCACAGATATTGCGCTTCGATCATTTTTATTTAAGTAAATACAATTATAATGATTTAAAAAAAACCAGAGAAACTAATATCTCAAATATGTATATACACGCATACGTACTTGGTATTTATCTTGATTTCGTGTCAATGCAATAGCATTGTTACATTGACATGAAATATTTTTTTACATATGGGCAACTTATTTGATTTATAGTGCAGTATGGAGGGTAGAGGTAAGGAGAACCGTTTCATATGGGAGAAACTTGAAAAAGTGTCCCACTTTCAGCACTAAATAACAGTTCAAAAATACTCCAGAATGGTGCTAGCATAGGCACAGGGTATGATATGAATTGAGCAGTTGTTAACTGATTGAAGTATGCTGAGTTAGGAAATTTAATATATTTAATGACTAAAGTAGTTAGTGACAGTGTTATAAACAAGACCTCACATGTTTACGTAGTCCAAACTAATTTCGTCAATATAATCTAAAGTTATTGCTGTCGTAAAACGTGGAGACATCGATTGTATTTTCATATCAGCTATAAATAAAATACTTTTTGTGATTTTGTAGTCCTTAAAGTTCTTTCGTCCTTTTCTGTCTCTTTATCTTAATCTAATAACTTTCAGCGCCTTTTTTTTAAATTTACCCGATTGCTACTGTAGCGCTACCCTTATTTAGCAGATTTTAACGGACACTTTTTCACACACAGGGACGGTTGTCCTTACCTCTACCCTCCATAGGTGATAATTTCGTTCCAATAAAGCTGGAAAATCTTTTAATCAAGAAAAAAACCCGTTTATTCCTTACATTCAAAATAAAAATCGACTAAACTTTTGACCACAATAATTTCGAAAACGTCAACTGTCAAGGACTAACCCTCATGTCAGTTCTTTCAACTTTCATAATTCTTTTCGAAACACGCCAGCTTTGGTGCACGTGTGTTAATTGTATTAAGCTCGATATTACAAGCCAAAATGGATAAACCCAACGTTCTTGCTCGTGTCGTGAAAGTACTCGGCCGTACTGGTTCTCAGGGCCAGTGTACTCAAGTGAAGGTCGAGTTCATTGGGGAGACCAGCCGTCAGATCATCAGGAACGTGAAAGGACCGGTCCGTGACGGAGACATCCTCACTCTTCTTGAATCTGAACGTGAAGCTAGGAGGCTGCGATAGATTGTAAGATTAACTTCTTTTCCAAAATAAATTACTAGCTATAATACTGGCTATGTACGAATTTTTGAGGTTATTTGTCTTTGTTACTTTATTGAAGTATGTATGTACCCAGTTCTTCATAGTTTTACCTGGAAAATTTATTTTTAAATCGAAAGATTGAATAATTTTGAAAATTATTTTATGCCGTTGAAGGGCTCTAAATTTATGGTTTCATTATCATTGCCAGTGCCTACATTCCAGCCAAGCTATATCTACAATCAGCAAGTAATACAAGATTTTAAATTGTATAAAATTGATTTTTTTAACAATTACAATATAATTTATTTTTGGTTGTTTCAGATTGCAGCATTACTGCATTAGGTTAAGGCATTCACATGTACCATCTACATAAATTTATGTGTTAAACTTACAAAACCGTCAAAGATGACCATCTTATTGTATTCAGCTCGGAATAAATACATAACATAAAATGGATATTTTTATTTAAAAAAAAAACCTACAATAATATTTTGTCTTTTAAAATATGTGTAGTTTACAAGTTTCATGATTTTTAAGAAGAGTGTGCCATTTATCTACGATCCTATTTATGACCAAGATAGCCATGTAATTTGGGCTGGTCATAAAAAAGTAATTTCTTATCACAAAATTCTCAAAATTCTTTCAATTGACTACTGCTCACTGCTGTTTTTCAAGTACTTATAAGTACAGTGACCCAAAATTTTTGTGTGTGGAAGATGTTTGCAAGCCTAGTTTGAGCATAAATGTAAATGTGAATGACAAATACATTTTAATACATCTGTTCCTGGGGCACAACAGTCTGAACCTTATCGAAACTGAATTATTACAGAACATCATCCTGTTGCAACCATTGGAACCAATTCCAACTATATTTATAAAGGACGATTTAACCAAACTGAGTATTAGTAGTAAATAAATTATGCATTAAGTTGAACCATTATAAAAATCTTTAGAACACAGACAGTAAAATTTGTCACCATAGTAACATGTATGGTAGGTGGTCAATTTAGAAAAAATGCGGTAAATGTACCGTAAGTACCGTGTGGTTGTAGACGCTAAGACAAATAAATTGCGAAACTAAATATATTGAGTCGACTATTATCAAAGCCGGCAATGTGACTTTTGGACAATTATTGGTAAATCAGAAAAAGGAATTATTGACTTTGTATTCCATTGGCAGTCACAAAACTCTTCTGAACGACATCTTAGATAAATAACAGGTTAAGTATTAACCTTTATTTAATGCAGGTTTTGAACCGTATTCTTTGAAGGAGACGATTATATTCAAATCAATCTGTATTGACATATCAATAACATTTTTTTGTCCAAATGCACAGATTGCCACCTTTGATAATANTTCCATTGGCAGTCACAAAACTCTTCTGAACGACATCTTAGATAAATAACAGGTTAAGTATTAACCTTTATTTAATGCAGGTTTTGAACCGTATTCTTTGAAGGAGACGATTATATTCAAATCAATCTGTATTGACATATCAATAACATTTTTTTGTCCAAATGCACAGATTGCCACCTTTGATAATAGACGACTCATATGTGAAATGTTTCGCAGCCCACATTTTGGTAGTATTTTTTTTCCTATCTGTTCATTGGTAGCCTAAGAGACTATTCAAGCTACGCCGGATGCTAGTACTGTTAATATACAACTGAGACTTTCGTTATTTTCGACTTTAGTTCGGATCTTAGGACTGTTTCGCGGCCGAACCATGCAGGATGATGGTGGTAGGCTTAACGACGGCGGGAAAATCTTCCACCGAGTCGGTGATACCTATGGCTTGGTAGACCGATGGTCCAAATTTTGTTGTTCGGAACTTTTATTGCAAGCTTGTCTTGAAAATGTTGTAAGCGAGATTCAGGCATCTGTCAAATATATTGTTTCTATGATGGGTACCGCCACAATGGTGCTTATGCATGTGAATTGTTTTTAAAAAAAATTATTGCCCTCGTAGGCCGACGAGCATACGGCCCACCCGATGGTGAGTGGTTACCGCAGCCCATGGATTTCAGCAATGTCAAGGGCAGAGTCAAGCCGCTGCGTACCGTAAAGTACTCTCCACAAGTCTCGTTTAAAGAAAGACGTGTCATAGCGCTCGAGGAACACCGTGGAGGGAGCTCATTCCAAAGCCGGATGGTACGTGGCAAAAAAGATCTCTGGAAACGCACTGTGGATGAACGCAGTATGGATAAACTCTACTTCAGTGGCGGGCGGTGCGATGGAAACAATTCCTCAGAGCACTCCCTATGGAACATACTCTTTAAAATATAGAGGGAACCGAAGTCCCTCCTTAGACCCAGAAGTTCCAAACGAATTTAAATTACGCCCTAATACTAAATGTCAGTTGATGATCGCAGTACGCAGGAATAATACTCTGAAAGTCGCTACATATTCTCTGTATCTGTAGTATGCCTTAGTCGCTTTCTACGACACCCCCAGGAAGACATGGAGTGGTGCTATTCTACGTCCAAATATATTTAGATTTTTTACTGGTGGTAGGACCTATTGTGAGTCCGTGCGGGTAGGTACCACCACCCTGCCTATTTCTGCCGTGAAGCAGTAATGCGTTTCGGTTTGAAGGGTGGGGCAGCCGATGTAACTATAATGAGATCTTAGAACTTATATCTCAAGGTGGGTGGCGCATTTACGCTGTAGATGTCCATGGGCTCCAGTAACCACTGTACACCAGGTGGGCTGTGAGCTCGTCAACCGACCTAAGCAATAAAAAAATAAATAAAAAAAAATGATTTTTGGAGTTTACTCCTTAAGAATCGATTTACATATATAGGCCCGGGGTATGAAAATTATGGGGACCAAAATCGTACTAGAGAGTATAGCATGTCACACGAAATGCGTTATGCGCCTGATTGGCTCCTGATTGCGTGATGCGTGCGCGCGCCAATCAGGAGCCAACGCGCGGCCGCGTTATCGCAGGTGACGCCGGGCTGCTGCGCCGGCAGTCCGCCACAAAGCCTCGTACTGATCGCGCGTTTCTCTCATTATTGTATTTTCATATATTTGTTAGTCGTTTGTTTTGTGTCTCGTTAATTTGTTAATAATCTGTAGTGTATCGTGTTGTCGTAATATAGAACTATTTCTCGTATTGTTTCGTTTAATTTACCGACATCGTTTTGCTTGTGGCCGGACGCCGTTCGGGTTCGATTCCTGAACGTATCAACTGTTAGTGGGTTGATACCCGAATATAACCCGCTACAAATCATTTATTAATAAAGCTTATTAAATATAAACAATTCCTTCTATCAGTGAATGGACAACTTATATATTAATTGTAAAAGTGAATTATATAGACTTACTTAATTACCGCATCCACGTGTTCCGCAACTCCCGGATCATTCTCACTAGAATACGTAACTTCCATATTTTACTGTATTCAACTGACACAAATTTATATTTATATCCAGTAAACTCCAGTCGTGCGTCGGAGCGGACACACACACTTTTTTTTCCTACACCTACGATGGTATTCTTTCTTCGAAGTTATACTTCCACACTTGAAGTACACACAAAGTACTTGTAAGTGAGATATGAAATAGGGTGCCAACGCATCTGAATACCGGGCATCTCAATCTTGACTATTGAAGTTGCTGATGTAGAATAACATGATCAACGGCCTGCAAACTACTTACTTGAAGGTTAGC